AAGGAAAGACAGATGAATGCCATGAAGTATGGAAAAAGTAGAAGTAAAGAAAGAATGGAAGGGAGGGGAAGGAAGGATGGAAGCAAGGAAGGAAGAAAAGGAATGCAACGGGAGGAAGTATGTAAGGAAGAATCGTAGGAAGGATGTAGGGTGCAAGGAAGGAAGGAATTAGTGAAGGAAGAATGAATAATAGGAAGGAATCAAGGGAGAATGATAGGGAAGAAGGAAGGAAGGAATTCGGGAAGGAAAGACAGAAGAATGCCATGAAGGAAGGAAGGAAGGAAGAATCATAGGAAGGATATAAGGAAAGAAGGAAAAATGATAGGACGCAAGGAAGGAATTAGGGAAGGAAAGACAGAAGAATGCTATGAAGGAAGGAAGGATGGAAGCAGGTAAGGAAAGATGGAAGGAATGAAGAATGAAAGGAAGGATGGTAGGACTCAAGGAAGGAAGGAATTAGGGAAGGAAAGACAGAACAATGGGGAGGGAGGAAGAATGAATGATAGGAAGGAAGGAAGGAAAAATGGTAAGAAGCAAGGAAGGAATTTGGGAAGGAAAGACAGAAGAATGCCATGAAGGATCAAAGCAGGGAAGAAAAGAATGGAGGGAAAAATCGTAGGAAGGATGGAAGGAAAGAAGGAAAGACGAAAGGATGGATGGAAAGAAGGAATGAAGGGAGAAAGCAAAGATGGATAGATGTAAGAAAGGATGGATGAAATGAAGGGAGGAAGGAAGAATGGTAAGAACCAAGGAAGGAAGGATGGAAGGAAGAATTGTAGCAAGGATGGAAAGAAGAATGAATGATAGGAAGGAAGAACGGAGGGAGAAAAAAGAAAAGACAGAAGAATGCCATGAAGAATGGAAGGAAGCAGGGAAGGAAGGAAGAAAGAAAGAATAGAAGGGAAGGAAGGAAGGAAGGAATGAAGAATGAAATGAAGGCTGGAAGGACGCAAGGAAGGAAGGAATTAGGGAAGGAAAAAATGAAGGAATGAAGGGAGAATGATAGGATGGAAGGAAGGAATTAGGGAAGGACAGACGGAAGAATGCGGCAAAGGAAGGAAGAATGGAATGGAGGGAAGGAATGAAAAAAGGATGGATGGAAGGAAGGAAGAATGGTAAGAAGCAAGCAAGAAAAGATGGGAGGAAAGATGGAATAAAGGGAGGACGGACGGATGGAAGGAAGAATGATAGGAAGGAAGGATGGATTGAAGAAAGGAAGGATGGATGAATGGAATGGAGAAAGCAAAGAAGGAAGGATGAAAGAATGGAGGAATGAAGAAAGGAAGCATGGAAGGAAGGAATTAGGGAAGGAAAGATGGAAGAATGCCAGAAAGGATGGAAGAATGAGGAATGAAAGAGAGGAACAAAGGAAGAATTGTAGGAAGGATGAAGGGAAAGATGGATGTAATAATGGAATGAAGTAAGGAAGGAATGAAGGGACGAAGTAAATAAGTAAGAACGAATGATATGACGACAGGAAGGAAGGAAGAATTGTAAGAAGCAAGCAATGAAGGAAGGATGGACGGAAGAATGGTAGGATGGAAGGAAAAATGATAGGAAGGAATTTTCAGCTGTGTGAACGTAAGTCTGTCAGTCTGCTTTTGAGTTAGGATAATAAAATACGTATTATTAGGTCATATTGACCTCTGAATGTTTAGATTTTGATTTTTTTGATTTTTTTTTTTAATTTAACACTCATGTCTTTTATTGTCTTAAATGTAAATGTAGATCATCCGCAAACAGCATTGAGTGATTATCTACTCATGCTTTTACTTTGGTATGAAGAGTGAGAAGTAGATGTAGCAGCGTTATTGGTTATTGATCATATACAAACTCATACACACACAACAAAGGGTGTGTGTGTGTCTGTGTTTAAAACTATTCCTGGGCAGTGATGGAATATTTGGTGCCCGCTCAGACACACCTACACCGGTTCTAGATTCAAACCTGCGACCCTACAGTAACAAGCCAGTCCTCGTAACACAGCCCATGCTGAGCAAATGTTTCACTGTCATGTAAAATTCAGCGTTAAATGTGTCTGACATTCAGGTAAATGTCAGGGTTTTCACTATAAACCCCCCTGCTACTTAATCATTAGTGCCGCTGCTTCAGAATAAAGGCAGAAGCTCAGTAAGAGTTTTCCTGTTATCTTAACTGTATCCTAAATAATTAACATCTCACTGTGTCTCAACCTGCCTGGCTATGCTCGGTTTAGTTAACATCACATGGGGTTTAAGCGCTAAAGTTGGCTTCATTTTGATAATGGTAAATTTGATTTTAGTTTATGTTGCATGACTCGGCAGTATCGACCAAAAAATACTCTTAATGAGAACATTTACATTGACTTTTAGGTTTTATCCCTGATGCTTTTGGTCATTAGAGACTGGTCAGAGTACTGCAGTGCCCTTCCAACAGGCCTCTCAGCCTGTACTTTAAAACCTCTACAGATGGTCCAGAACAAAGTGGTGTGCCACACTGGCTACCCATAGCTACCCCATCAAATTCATATCCCTGTTGCTAGCCTAGAGAGTACTTAATGGGTCTGTTCCTACCTACATAAGTACTCTGATAAAGCCTTATGTTGCTTCACGATCTCGCCACTTATCAAGGGAATGTCGTCGAACCTCTTTTCATAGGTATATACTTATGTATGTATATATAGCCATACCTCAAGTAAACTCATGGCCTACAGGCTGTGTACTCCGGTTGCTAAGCAGCAACATTTTGTTGCCAGACTCACTGTTTTTTGTGCTTTTGTGCAATGACCGTAAAGAAAGTCTAAGTCTAAATGTGAATGAATGTCTTTTAGGTCCAGCAGCGGCGACAAGAGCTGGAGCAGGCGCTGGGCATCAGGAACACCTAAAGAAGACATGACCACAGGCCACAGACCAGCTATTGAAGAAGACTCTGTGTGTGTGTTTGTGTGTATGTTTGAGAAATTATGACTTTCCTCAACTTAGAAACTGACAACTACAAAGACGAACCATATTAGACAGTATAGCTGTTTTATATAGGGTTGTTGTTTTACAGTTTGACTGCTACTTCCAAACTTTTTGTCTGCTCTTTTCTACTAGAGCCTTTGTCAGAACAATGTTTTTTTTTTTCTTGCATGTGTAAATCTTACCTCGAAGCATTCCCTTTTCATTTTTTGCTCACTGTGCCTACACAAAAGAATAGACTGAACACAAAGGAGAAGGAGATGACAGATTGAATAGAACCTGGCTTTTCTTAATGTCTTTTGTTCCTGGAACTGAACCAGTTGTTACATCAGATTCAACCTGTTGGTTTTTCTCTCCCCCTTTTTTTTTTCAAGCTAAATTTTTCTTCTACACTCCTGACACTTTGGTATGAGTTTTGACCGTGTTTGTAATCAATGGCTTTATTAAGTTTTTTTTTTCTCAGTTTAAGAATATTTTGCCAGACTTTCCACAGCTGTGCAAAAATGGCTGTTTTTGTTGAAAGTGCCATTTAGTATGAAGTTGTTTTTGTTGTTTTTTTTCTTTCATTTTTTTTTTGTTAGTCGTCTTTGTTATGAAACTATGTATGATATCAATACTTGTCCTGTTAGATAGTGAAGATTATTAAGGAAGTAGCTAGTACAAGTACCTCTAGTCTATATAGTTTTGTAAATACTGCAGAAGACAAAAAAAAAAGATGAAAATAGATGTGAAGTACAGTTGTATCTATTATCCTGGCAGATCACCCAAACTGGTATTTATAATAATCTGCCCTCGCTGTCAGAGCCCAGAGACTTATCCCAACAACGAACGGTCGGCCATGACATTTTCACCGACTGTAACCTGGGGAACAGCTGAAACTTCTGCCGTTAGTTTTGTACATTTTCTTCGACCAGATTTGCTTGAACCTAAGCAAGTTGAAAAGCTGCAGCTTCTCAGTTTAACCTCTGACATCACTGGTGTCACGGCAGTTTTAAAGACGAAAGAGGGCCATGGCTGAAAGTTTGTGTGTGTGTGTGCGTGCGTGCGTGCAATTCATTAAAATAATTCCTAAATACACTAATGTGGATTTTTGGTGAATGATGTGACAGGAGCTGTAGGACCCTCTCGGCTGTAAAACAACACTGGTAGAACTGCAGGATTATTTGTATCTGCAGATTTTTTCATGGACCAAACCTATTTTTCTGTATGTTTTTATGTTATAATAAAGGATATGTAAAATGTACCTCTGTTTTAAAGGTGTCTGTGCCTACTGTTCCATACATGTTTAAAAAATAAATTTACATATATGTTTATCAACTAACTAATTTAATTATTAAAATTAAATATAAGATACCCCACTAGAGGGCATGACAGGCCCGTATATAGGATTAACCCCTGCCAGGCGGTTTTGTATTGAATTCAACCTAGTCTCTAATTAGGGGTGCGTATTGGAAATATGATATGTAATGGAGCAGCGATACGATATATTGTATTATTGCATTGAGTTGGTTTGTGTAAACAATTCAATTGTAGGAAAACAGTAAACACAACGGTGTTACAGGTTTGATTACTACAATTGGATCAGAGGCGTGTATTTATAATAGTGTAAGAGACCAACGAATGTACTACATCTGTAAGAAGTACTCACACAACACTACAAACCACTGTGTGAATGTGCGCGCGAGAAAATATGCGTGCACGAGTGTAAGTGTGCGCTTGTGTGTATCGGTCACAGTACAGACCAATAGTAAGACCGGTGCCTCCCGCAGCCTCGGCTCTGTGTGCCGTGTATAAATACTCTCTCTTCCGGCGTCGGTGAGCTCCTCAGTCCGGCAGCAGCTCCGTCCGTCTGGAGGGTCGAACACATGATGGCAGCGCCCAAGAAAGTCTGCGTGGTTGGCTCTGGAAACTGGTCAGTGTCACTATTTTCTCATTTAAAAATCATTTTTAATCGATGTCAGAACAGACAAACGACTTCCTGGGAGAGTTTAAAGGTCTATTATAACTTTTTTTAAAAATGTTCATTTGGTTTGTTGTCCGTTTTTGTTTGAATAAAAGTTGTCAAAGTGGAGGTTATTAGAAGTAAACTTCCTCTTAGTCTCCTGTGACCAGCTGTGTCCTCGGACTCTTCTGACCTTTGCTGCCCCAAAGCCCTCCACCCCCTTCTTTTGTTCTTTAAAACACTTTACTTCATTTTTTTTTTTAGAATCATAAATTTAAAAGAACATTTGAGCTGACTCAGCCTTGGCGTGTTTGTTGTTGTCCCACTGCCAGCATGACCTTTAAATCTGCCTGAGGAGGGAGGGGAACTCACTACACTGCTGTAAAAAAAAAAAAAAAACGACAGAAAACCTAGTGGTACTGCGCTGTAAAACACACATCCTTCATCAGTAAAAGTAACAGATTGAAGAAAATAGAGTGTATTGAGAGAATCATCTTTTAACCAGTCAGTTCTTCAGAATGACACCTGTTATAAATTCCTTCAGCGGTTCTCAACGTTTTTACACCGTGCACCAACAAAAATATTCCATTCTCCGGTTACCACCAGTGGGACCAACATTAAGACACGGCAGCGTCAACTCAGACCGGTGTACAAAGAAGAGAAAATATTACAAATACGATTTTAGGCCAATGTCTTTGTGTACAATAAAGTACTACTACAACTACTTAAATACATTCTGAAACCACACACATTAGGACAGGATAAAGTACAACTGCTGTATTTACTGTAACAACTGGGTGACTCACCTAATCCCAATGGGAAACAGATCCCTCCTTGTACCACTGGAGGGAGCCTCTAACCACCAGTGGTACATGTACCATAGTTTGAGAACCAGCGGGAACCATGGGGGAGAGTGGTTAATGCTGTAACCTTACAGCAAAGAGGTCACAGGTGTGTGTGGGTGTAGACCAGGTACTTCCGTTTTGTCCAAAAACACCCCGTGGGCCACACAATACGGCTTGGCGTGACGCATATAACAGTCTGTGTACAACTAGAGGGAGGGTATTTGTCTTTGTACCACTAGTAGCACACGTACCATAGTTTGAGAACCACTGCTTACTTTATTTAGTGACCTCACAGAGGGAAAAACCTGCAGTGTATCATTTGGACATAATGACATAATAAAATGACATAATCTGAAGAAATACTATGTACTTCTATACAAACTAATTTACTCCTCAAACCATCAGAGTACTTCTTTGGTACCTCTACTGGGCTTTATCCTTCAACAGAGATATAGAATTTGTATTTCATATACTACGCTATATATAATGGACTATAATAATATTTGAAGTGTTCAAACTCCTGCGCAGCTATGTTGATACATAAAACCCTGACCTTGATTGGAACTCTCCCCCTGCTGGCGTTTATTTTCCGGGGGGTGGTTTTGTTTGTCTTTTGTATTGCTGAGCACGTGAAACATTTTAAGTCATCTGAAACCAGTCGTTCACAGTGACACGCGCTGACGATCCTCTGCACCTGGGATCAGGTAACGACAATAATCCAGTTCAAGGAAAACATCCACATAGAACTCCACACACTGAGACTTTTGAGTCAACCGCTGATTTCCTCTGTGGTACTGAGTGTAGTACTCTTTTATCAGTATTGGATTATTGGTAGATAGATATTATCTTGGACATTTGTCTCACCTTTTCCTTGCAACTCTGCACAACAACAAGTGTAGAACTGTAAATATATTTTGTCACATCAATCAGAAAAACAAATGACTTGTGATTTTCGTCGGTCATCGATCCAATTCCTCGACACCTAAATGCGTCACAGATGCATTGTTTAATAGATACATTGCTGAATAAATGCTTTATTCACTAAAGCAGTAAATGAACCAAAATACTAACCATCATTATCTGTGTCACTCTCTGCTCACAGGGGCTCTGCCATTGCCAAAATTGTCGGCGCCAACGCAGCCAAATATGACGGGTTTGATACCACGGTGAACATGTGGGTTTTCGAGGAGATGGTGAACAACCGCAAACTCACAGAAATCATCAACACAGACCATGAAAATGTGAAGTACCTGCCTGGTCATAAGCTGCCCCCCAATGTGGTAAGGTGGTGGTAAAATATCAAGTTATTTATTTGTTTTCAATTATTAAGGGATCGTAGATACTAAGTATGAAATGGATTGTGGTTGGTTGACTTTTTTTTTTTTTTAATGGAGGTCTGATAGAAATCAGTTAAATTTTGATTCTAAATTAAATCCAAAAACCTTTGACTGAGGAGTTGTATGACTTTTTTAGATTGTTTTTGAAAACACTTGACTTTGTAAATTCTTATAGAATTTACTGTATTAACTATGGCTGTCAAGTGATTAAGATTTTAAGTTGATTGATCATAGTGGAGCTGTCGATTAATCATGATTAATTGATGAATCGACCAATGAGAAAATAAAACAAAAATGAACATAAATGAAGCAATTAATTTTTATGAAGCTGAGAATTAATCACCTGATCATTAATGATTAATCATGATCGTAAATGATCATGGTTTATTGTGATTTATCAAGATGAATCAACATGGCATATATATGGCAAAAAATCTTTTTCTTCTGAATGTTGCCAGAACAGAAAAACAAATAACAACAGTTAGATGTGTGTGTGTTTCACAGCTGTTTCTCATTTCTAATTAATCCAAATTTAGCTCCACACTGTTGGAGGATTTTATTCATCCCTGCACCTTGACGGCGGTTTGTTGACTGTGTTGATGTTTTCATCAAAACGTCTGTGATTGTGGTCAACAATATTGATCAGTCTACAGTCCATCACTGTAGGTCTGACGATCGTATCAGTCAGCTGGTCAGTTGCAGACTCACTGACTGCCCTGAGTCCGGTCTGTGGGGTCATCTCATCTGAAGTTAAAGCCCCCACAAATGCATGCTGGGAGTTGAGGTGGTATTTTAAACTGGAGGTGCTTCGTAAAACAAAAAACTCCACAGTGTGCAACATAACATCATATGTATCCACTGTGTACTAGAGCAGTGGTTGTAAAAGTGGGGGTTGTGGTAACCTAGGGGGCCGCTAGGTAGCGTTGGCAGTCCACAGAAAATTTGAGGGAAGAT